CCCCAAAACCCCAAAACCCCAAAACCCCGCAATTAAAAATATCATGAATCGGCAAATTTAATTTAAATTAGAACTTTAATATTAATTGATACGACCAGTTACATCATAATATCATCTTCTTAAATGATTTAAATTCAAATTATCCTTCATGAAGAGTAAATCTTCTAAAATACCGCAAAAGATATTGTAAATATAGAGGTATAAATTCGATTCATAAGCTGATAACTTGCTCTAAACCCCAATATCTTCAAAGGCTTCTGTTGATCAAGCTGAGCTAATCGCTCTATGATAATGTCAATCTACTCAATCAAGCTGTCTAATCGCTAATTAATATCTTGATAGCAGATATTACCTGCCTTAGTTAAAGTCTTAATTAGATTTACATATATTTCAAGATAAGGATCTGTAAATAAAAGTTATCTCATTAACTCATCCTTATTAGCTTTGATAAAGAATAACTTAGACTTTAAATCAAGCAGCATATTTGAATGCTTTTGAAACTACTGATTCACATTAGAACCAATCAAGAGCATTGCAAGTATAACTCCTATAATCACAATAATATCATGGATCACTATAGCTGTCACTATTGGTTTGATATCAAATTTGATAAAATTAAAAAATTACAGCAACAGAACAATTGCGAAAAAGAGGTAAAATCCAAGATAAATAGAACTGTATAAAAATATTCTAGTTAGATATCTTTTTCCTATGTCAAGAGAGCAAATTCTTAGGTCTACCCAGGTGTTTAATGATTTTAGACATAGCAGATTGACAGTAGGCAGATATCTATATTGCTTTGGGGAAAATTGCTTAATAGGCTCAGCCATTGCTCCAATAGCATTAATCATGAGTTTTCTTCTCTTAAAGTCTATTAAGCCTATAAAAACGAAGAGGTAATTTTGGTAGATCAAAGTCAGACTTCCCACGAATTCAACAGAGCTATAGAGGATTTCATCCCAGTTTGAATGCATTATAACGCCATAGTGAATAGATCTAGATATAAACGGAATAGATACTCTAGAAAGTGCGAGAAATGTAACTAAATAGCTGATGTAACTAAAATCTATTGAATAAAGTTATGAGAAAAGTGTAATCTCTCTAAGGATAGACTTTCCAGTATATTTAGTAAAATTGATAGTTTTTAGGAACTCACTATCACTTTCGATTTTCTAACTAGAATTAACTTGATGAGCCATACTTATTGAACTTCCATTTTCTATATTCTTGCTATTTTAAACTTCTTCATTCATGTGAGCAGGGAAATTAGCTTCTAAGAGGCTTTTTTATCTTCTTAGTTTCTCATGTTATTTAACGTACTTTCTCATTATCTTTATATTGAGATGCCTACCCTTGTAATGATCTACATTTACCAAGCGCTCCTATAATTCAGGGTTAGTTATTTCAATATTTTCCATAAAGTAGCATTTAAAATTTTCCTCATCAACTCTATTTCTCCACACAGTTGCTTCAATCTCTTAATCAATTGAAGAAAGCTTTGAGAAAATCCAAGAAGTCATAATCAGATGATCTTCTAATTTTGTCTTTTTAAACATGCACCTTGACATCTAAGAGTATCCTTCATCATGGAAATATCCATATCTTATTGCTATTATGAGACTTCTTATAACAACCTAGATATTGTAGAAAAACATTTGCTCAATAGGCACATCTCTAATGTTTATCTATATATCAAAGATTTTAAAATATTTTTGAATCATCAGTAACTGCAATGTAAGAGTACACAGAAATTGCACTTGCTAAAAAATGAAAACACTGAAAAGATTTCGATTGTACCAGAAACCCATATTCTTAACTAAAACCTGTGAATCAATTAAACATATTATTGCAATAGCCACTGGTCCCAGATAAAAAAACATAATATGATACACAAATACCTTCAAAAACCTTAAAGTATTAAACTTTACATCATATTACTATTTCTAGGCAATTCTTTATTTGCATATACTTGCTTTTGTTCTCTTATAATATTGAGGGTTGTTTTTAAATGAATCAGAATTATGGCTATGATAGTTTAGTTTAATGCTATTATCTTCAACTGTTTGTATACTATTACCAGATAAAAAATCAACAGAAGTATTCATCTAAGTAGAATATGTGTGTTTTCTTTAACAATTTGTAGGGTATCCAGTATTCTAAGATAAAAAACTCAATTTCCTACTGCTAATGTTATCTGAAATACCTTGTAAATTGCGGTGATCCCCATTAAAAATCTAGTCATCTTGCAATTAATCTATTTCTTCTGATTAGTAAGGAGAAGGCCCCAATTCTCACTAAAAGTTCTAAGGGGATTCCTAGTCCTCACTTGGATAGCTGATAACCTTGCCAAGTACTTAATTCAACTAGTCAGAGTCGTCACTTATTGAGCGCTTCTTTGGTGACTATGTCTGTTTTCTTATAGATATAGTTCTCATTCAGAAAGGATTTATTATTAATTCTACATTAATTTCAATCTTTAATTCATATGTATTCCTCATTAATCCTTGCTTCTAATTTTATTTAAATTCAAATCTTAATATCCCTTTTTTATTGGATATATTAAATTGCGGGGTTTTGGGGTTTTGGGG